GATTTTACAAAGCTCTAATGTACTTGAATGTCAGGGGCCTGAAGGACAAAAGGGCCAAATACAGCCATATGTCGCCTCCATTGCACTATCTTTGTGGGGACGAGATCTTTTACAACAATGGGGGGCTACAGTTACTATACCTTCTTTACAGAAAGGCCATAGACAAGTGATTTTTCAAGCTGGTGCTGGCACCAATGTTAAGGACCAAAATTTATAAAGGGGGCCACTCCAGAGCACTTCGCCCTACCATTAAAATGGAAAACAACTAAACCAGTATGGGTAGAGCAGTGGCCCCTAACAAGAGAAAAGTTAGAAGCGCTTCAACTCACTATTAAAGAACAGATACAACTAAGGCATATAGAAACTAGCTCTAGTCCATGGAATTCCCCTGTCTTTGTTATAAAGAAAAAATCAGGTAAATAGAGGATGCTTACTGATTTAAGACAGATTAATGAGATTATTGAGCCTATGGGAACTTTACAACCTGGAATTCCAAATCCAGCATTAATTCCTAAAAATTGGCATCTAGTGATTATTGATTTGAAAGACTGTTTTTATACAATCCCTTTACAACCTCAGGATGGTGACACATTTGCTTTCACGGTCCCTTCATTAAATAACAGCCAACCTTAAATAGTCCTACTATGTGTCAAGCTTATGTTCATCAACCTTTACAAATACTAAGGCAGATGTTTGCTACAGGCATTTGTCACCATTACATGGATGATATCTTATTAGCACATAAAGAAAAACCTGAGGTCGATAATATGTTACAGGAGGCTAGAAAATTGTTTAAGGAGTATGGACTCCAAATAGCAGAAGAAAAAATTCAGCAAACAGAGCCCTGGTTATATCTAGGACAGAAAATTTCAGCAAGCATTATTCAACCTCAAAAGGTGCAGATTAGACAGGATTGTCTCAACACCTTAGATGATTTTCAGAAACTGTTGGGGGATATAAATTGGCTTCGACCATCTATTGGCATCCCTACCTATCAGTTAACTAGTCTATTCCGGACATTAGAAGGGTCTTCAGATCTCAATAGTCCTAGGCAATTGACTCCTGAGGCAGAAGCCGAATTACAATTAATTGAACAACAAATTCAAGCAGGACAGTTAGATCGTATACAATCATTACAAAATCTTAAGGTTTTAATTATTCATACCACACATTCTCCAACAGGAATTCTTATGCAGGATACTAACATAATTGAATAGGTATTTTTACCTCATAAATCCAGTAAAAAATCATCTACATATTTACAGAAAATTTGTATCTTAATAGAAAAGGCAAGAATCCGTTTGCGACAATTATGTGGACAAGATCCAGATGAAATTATAATTCCCTTTAGTAAACAACAACAAGATATCCATTGGCAATTATCAGATAATTGGTAGAGAGCCTTTAGTGATTTTTTGGGGAAAATTTATAATATTTATCCTAAAGACAAAAGAATTCAGTTTTTAAAAAGGACTCAATGGATTTTACCGAAAATAATTTCTCCTACCCCGCTATCAGGAGCAGAAACTTATTTTACTGATGCAAACAAACAAGGAATGGCTGGATACAGTAATTTTAAAGAAAATAAAGTAGTGCAATCTCCTTACCAATCAGTACAAAAGGCAGAATTGTTTGCAGTTGTCATGTTACTACAAGATAAAGACTCTATGTCTCTTAACATTATCACTGACTCTCAATATATAGAGTTTACTGTACAACACATTGAAATGGCTACTATCTTTGAGGATGGGTCTGACTTGCATGAATTATTTCTACAGCTTCTAATGCTTTTATGGCTCCGGCATAATCGCTCAGTCTTTACTACCTGGACCTTTATCTGCTGGGAATACTAACATTGATCAATTGGTTGGTACAGTAACCTCCGCTCAAAAAGAGCATGATATGTATCATTCCAATGCTAGAGCATTAAAAGAAAAGCATCATATCACTTGGAGACAGGCTAAAAATATTTTGCAAACATGCCCTCAATGTCAGCCGTTCCGCACTGCTCGCCTACCTATGGGAGTTAATCCCCGAGGAGAAAATGTTAATGCCCTTTGGCAAATGGATGTTACTCAGGTGCCAGAATTTGGCAAGCTTAAATTTGTTCACCATTCTATTGATACTTATTCTCATTTCTTGTGGGCATCGGTGATGTCCTCTGAGAAAGCCGATGCTATTATAACCCATTTACGGGAAGCCTTTGCTATAATGGGCAAACCCCGAGCCATTAAAACTGACAATGGCTCGGCATATTTATCAGGTAAGTATCAGCATTTTTCAACAGTTTAATATTAAACATATTACAGGAATTCCTGGGAACAGTACAGGTCAAGCAATTATTGAATGGCAGAACCGAACCCTTAAGGAAATGCTGCAAAAACAGAAAGGGGGAGAGGAGCTGGTATTAGGCCAGACTCCCCGATGAAGATTATTAAGAGCTCTATTTACTTTAAAATTTTTAAATTTGAATACAGATGCAGTGTCAGCTGCTGAGATACATTGGGGACATAAAAAGGAGGTCCCGGTAGAACAACCTATCATGTACCAAGATGTTACCACTAATCAATGGTGCCTGGCTACCGTTTTAAGGTGGGGTCGAGGCTATGCTTATGTTTCCACAGGGACTAAGAAGTTCTGGATTCCTGATAAAAGAATCAAGTTAAGGCATGGCGAGCAAGAGGAAGTGTGATGAAGTGGGACTGGAAGACCGGTTTGCGCAGTTAACCACCCAGAGAGGACATGCAATTCATGTGCCATTGCCTCGCACCTGAAACACCCCTCCACCTACATGGGGACAGGTGAAGCGCCTATGCCAGGAAGGGGATGTCTTGTGACTGCCCATAGAAGGCCCTGTACTCCCTCTACATTATTTGTGGCTATGCTGGCTATCCTCACTACCCAGGTAAAAGGGTTGAACTATACTTACTGGGCCTACATTCCGAATCCTCCGTTAATGAGAGGTGTATCTTGGACAGATTTAACTGTACCTATATATATTAATGACTCTAATTGGATGCCTGGACCTTTTGATGATCGTGGGCCTTTGAAACCAGATGAAGAAGGAACAAGAATGAACAACTATTCAACAGGAGTTACCAGAATGCCTGTGTCTGGGACTAGGTGATCATTGTCTGCAATTGGGTTATCAAGCCTGGTTAAGTGTGGCTAAAAACACCACTAATCCTAGGAAACACCATAATTTATTCATACTTGCGGCGCAAGGAATTAAAGGAAATGAAAGTGACAGAACAGATATGCCTCCACCTTTACCTGTGTGTCAAATGCCTATTCATACAATCTTAGTGGATTGGGTCCAATGGACTCGGTGTAGAGGGGAAAAGGCGCGTGTTCTTGTTAATATTCCATATGGGAGAGTCATTGATTGGAGCCCTTTTGGCTCTGCATGCACCCAAACTAATGGTAAAGATCTTCAATGGCATGTAGGAAATTTCAGTATGTCAACAACTGCCAATGAAACCATCCGTTGGCATGGAGGTGGCTTTGCACCCCCTTCTCCTCATATGGAGGGAGCTCCATTACAAAATCACTTCTGGAAACTTGGGGCTGCATTAAAACCAATAAAATTCTGGACAGGAAAGTTAGAAAATATGTCATGAACATATAATTTGACTTGGTACCTTAATGGTACCCGAGGCCTAAGGCATGTATACGTCTTCCATATCTATTATTAAAAGGACCAGTCCAATGGAATCAAACTACTGGGGAAATAGATTGTTTTATTGTACCTTATTAACTTGTGTAAGTAACTCTGTACCTTTTAATCACAGTAGAGAGAGCTTGTATCTATTGCGAGCCAGAACAGGAGTATGGTTACCTGTACAGATGGATCGACGATGGCAGGCAAGTTCTCTAGCTGGAGCTCTCCAAGCCATTGCGGAAGGAATATTGAAGAGGTCAAAAAGTTTTATTGGCATGCTAATCGCTGTAATTCTTGGGTTAATTGCTATAACAGCGACAGCTGCAGCAGCTGGGGTGGCATTACAGCGACCAGTCCAAATGGCTACGTTTGTTCAAGAGTGGCATAAAGATTATCTTGAATAATCAGTAGTTTTATTAGGGGACCAAATTGTTAGTTTGCAAAGGCGATGACAGTTTATGTGTCACCCCTGTACCTTATAATGAAACAGCTTTGCTATCTTCTCTGTCATGATTCATAACCTGCAGCAAAACTAAAGGAGGGAAATGTAGCCAGTCAAGTGAAAAGAGAAGTTAACTAAAAGAGAACGTTCTGCCAAGAACAGACGGGGGCCTGCAAGCGGGCCACATCAGAACAAAGTCTTGCACACAAGATTTATTGTTCAGAGGCAGAATTTCCTTGGGTGATAAATAGTCCATGAGGGCACGGAAAGTACAAGGAAGGGTACACAGCTGCAGGTTGAAAAGGTCTTTGAACAATATAGGAAATTAATAGTTTAATGTATAACTTAGCTCATATGATCTCATTGGCATGCCTGTTTGTCATTGTTACTTGCTGTACTCCCCAATAAAAGCCATGAGAACTTTGGAGGTTTTGCTACTTGCCTGAATGAGCAGTAGCCCTCTGCTTCTCTAAACTCAATCCTGCTTGCCGAGCTCATCTCTGTGTCATCGTTCACCTGTAGACTACCTGCAAGTTTGGAGGGCTGTAGTCTAATATATTAAAATGAGGTTTATTCTTAAATTATTTATTTTTAAGTGTCCTTGGTTTAGGGAAGGTAGGATTTACTAGATGGCTGCAGACTGCTGTTTTATTATTTCAGTTTTCCTATTATGCTTGTTCTGGCTTACTGGCCTGTGTCATTTACAATATCCAAACCTTAATTTTCCAATGATGATTAAAAAGTAAACATCCAGCATTTCTTTTTTTTAAAATATATTTTATTGATTTTTTACAGAGAGGAAGGGAGAGAGAGAGTTAGAAACATCGATGAGAGAGAAACATCAATCAGCTGCCTCCTGCACATCTCCTACTGGGGATGTGCCCGCAACCCAGGTACATGCCCTTGACTGGAATCGAACCCGGGACCTTTCAGTCCGCAGGCCGACGCTCTATCCACTGAGCCAAACCGGTTTCGGCCATCCAGCATTTCTTAGATTGACATTGATGAACATTCTCACTTTTAAGAAATATATTTTTAACACAGCATGACATTATATTAACAGTTTTAAATTTACTTTATAGATTTTTTGTAATAAAAGCTAAAATTAGGTGAACTTAAAACTCATTGAAATATTTAGATGTTTATCATTTAATATAGTAATGTTTTAAAGTTTTAATTTGCCAAAGACTTTGAAAAATTATGTATAGGCATATGAGACTGCAGAAAAGGTGGGGGAGGAGAGAGCAGGCCTAGTAGTCTGTTCCCAGGCATCTAGCCGCTTGGATTTAAAACTACCATATTTTTCCTTAGAGATAATATGCTAAGGTTTGGGTGATAATGAGTTCAACTTCTGCTAGTAGCAGGAAGTGTTAAGTGTTTGTAGTTTTGCAGTAAAGAAAGTTGTTCTTTGGGAAGGGGTGTGTGTGTGAAGGCGCTGAGGTCAGAGAAGTTTTCAGAGCATTAAAGGGGTGA